ACGCTTTGGATGCTTCTTGATTGAAAGGAATAGCCAGCTATAAGCTGTTGTCCAGGGGACATCCAAATGTGTTAACACACATTCTTCAGCAAGGCTCCTTCCATGTTCCCCATGAATGAATGAAGCTAGCAGAATTGTTACCATATGCCTTAAATGTACTCCTCTAGATACGATCTGCCACCTAGCGGGCATTGCCCCATATGCTCTTCACAGAGAAACAGCAGCATACGGAGAGACTCAAATCATCAATATCTAGAAAATACCCTCTCGATGACCTACAACCAGCTCAGCAGAGACTAGGAAAAGCATTCTTAGATTGAGGGAAGACTTTGAAGAATTTGAAAGCAGAGTGGATCTATATAAAGCTACGAAGAACCAACACTGGATGGAGTCCAGCTGGCACCTTGGTTTGCTAAAAGTTGGGAAGTATAGAAATCATTTAATAGACTGTGCAACAAGATCCAGAGACATTCTGAAGAAATCGAGCTATCTGATTGCTTGTGCCCTTTGTGATTGTGGTGACATCATTGTTGTAGACAACAACATGCACGTATAACTGCTCTTTGTTCCCGGATCAGTGTATACTTGAGAACCTCATGGCAGTGCGACAGAACACAATGTTTCCAGGGGAAATCTGTTTAATTTGTATGTATTTTAAGATTGAATTTCAAGTTTTAAATTTTATGTCATATAATATGCCTTATTTTAATTGTGATGTTTCTGACATGAATAAAAAAAACAAATGAACTATAGTATATATTTTATATACTGTAAAGGCCCAACAATTCCTCCTCACTTGATGCGACCCAGGTGAGCTGAAAGGTTGGACTCCCATGACCTATATCATCCCTAGCAGTTAAGTACCTAATGGCCAATTTGCAATCTTTTTCTCTCTGTATTTATGTAAACGGAAACAAAGGAAGCTGCTCCATAAATAAGCTTTGGCATTTCTAAATGAGTGGTTTTCTGGACTAGCTTATTCCTCTCTGAAGCCATAGTCTCCATTTTCAAATAATATGAGGTTTATTTTGGCTTATATTGGGTGGTAGTAACCAAACAGAAACAACCATCTGGGTAATTTGCCCTGGAGCAAATGACAAATTGTCTGAAGATAAGGATAAAGTTGGCATTGAAATGATGGAGGAAGAAGATGGGTTATACCATTCTTACTGGGCTGCTTAGTAGCCAGACTTGCTATGCCTTCACAAATGCTATAATCTTATGACACATGAAATCTAAAAAGCACCAGATGTTTTTAGGCCTATGTTAATGGATCCCTGACAAAGATAATTTCAAGGAGTTCGCTGCATGATCTTAGAAAATATTCATGGTGGTTTATAGCATAGTAAACAATAGTGATGAAAATATCTGCATATACTACTTTATGATCTGCCAATCAACTTCACAGGGCTGTTGTGGAAAAGAGGAGAAAGGAGTAATAGGTACTGTATGTCTTCACTTTGAGTTATTTATAAAAAAAATAAAGTTCAAGTATAAATAAATAAATTTTAGTCAGTTCTCTAAAACTGGAAGTTTGGTATCAGGAAAATATTGTTTTCCAAGTCAGCTTGATTGATTACAGATTTAACCTGTGAATCACACAGATGTGTAATTTAAGATCATTCTGTATATGTTAATCTTTATAAAGTATTAACCTGTATTTTGCTTGCTTAACTTTCCAACAAAAATGTTCTGATTTTATTCATAATAGTTTTACATTTAGCATGAAGATAATTTTGGTGAAGTTTTATATAACAGGCTCATCCATGATGTCACCTCTACTGTTTTATTACAGGGTTTGTAGTTTAAAGAGCCATGTGGCACGGTGGTTAGAATTCAGTATTGCAAGCAAACTCTGCCAATTGCCAGCAGTTTGATTCTCACCAACTCAAGGTTGACTTAGCCTTCCATCCTTCTGAGGTAGTAAAATGGGGAGCCAGATTGTTGGGGGTAATAAGCTGACTTTGTAAACCATTTAGAAGTGCTGTATAGCCTTGTAAAGTGACATATAAATCTAAGTGCTATTGCTATTTAAAAAAGAATAAATGTTGCATATTCTTCACTGTACTTTCAGGCAAAATAAATCTATGTAGCAAAGTAAGTCTATGTCTGTTTGGATTTGGATTGGTTGAGCAAGAATTTATTACAGTGAGGTGGGCGGTGTGGATCGCTCCTGGCAAGAGATGGTAGAAGTCATTGTATGCTGGTGGAGTTGGGCTGAGGGCATTATGGCAAGTAACACTAGGTAGGCCCTTGCTGGGGAAGGGAGATCTCCAAGCTTGTGGTTATCTTGACTTCCAAACTAGTAGCTTCATGATGAGAACCACATGGCTGTAATACTGATGTCTTAGGACACAAAGTGTTGGTGGTTAATACCTGCTCTGTCTACAGTAGTTCATCGTCCTCCATAACATAGTTTTGGATAAGGCGTACCTGATACGTATTTTTCAAATCTGAATGGTCAAGGGCAACACAAGTCTTGTCAGAAATCTTCCATGCCAAGGTTTGGGTCCTTCACCAATATTGATGCTAGATTTGGAGGCCAGGAGGTGTCTTTGATCATTATAATTTTTTTCAGTGGATAGAGATGCTGTCTTGAAGTAGCAGAATATGAGTGCCTGTAAGATTGAGATGTAGAGACAAGCTTGGGGTACCTGTCACCAATCAGCATGCAGCTTGTCAGGATCACTTCTTGAGCTACTAGAATTTGTCTCTGGCTAGTGCAGAACTTTTGCCTTTAGGTGTTGGGTTGTTCAAAATACCTCATCAGGCAACTAACTCTGGTAATTCTTGTGTGTGTATATCCTTTGTGGTTATATGGTGGCTGTCCCTAGTTGGTAGCTTGGTTTTTAGAGCTGCTCTAGAAAATGAAATACTGAAAATGATGCTTGAAGTGTAGATAGAGGAAGACAAGAAGCAGATCTGAGTGCAGGTAAGTTCAGGCCTACACCAAGACAATTTTCTCCCATAGTGGGTCACTGGGCTGTCATCCAGTAGCCTTACTTAAGCAATCAGTTCTTTTGGGGGGAAGTATCTGCATGTTCTCCCACCATTGTGATCAATTTGCACAGATAAAGTGGCTTAGATTTCACCAAAGTCTTGACTCCATGTGCAGATTCTGCAATGTTGCAGTGTTATTTGAGACTTCTTTTAGTTGCGGGCTACAAGGAAGTAGATTTTTATCTGCCATCCGCTTTTGGCATCTCTGCCTTCCTGGCTGCTGAGGGAAGTGAATGAAGAAACAGCCACTTTGATCTATTGAACTGTCAACACCCCCTGGGTGGGTAGGTGGATTAACAGCAGTCTTGCAAGAGGCTCTGGTGTTCTTCCTTCTGTAAAAGCCATCTGTGGATGAGAGGTTTTGGTTAATTATTGTCCAGTCTCCAGCCTCCCATGTCTAGGAAACGTTGTTGATACAACAGTGGCAGACCAATTTTGGAGCACCTCTAAAAATAGATGATTTGGGTCATTTCAGCAGGGAATCACACTATGGAACAGAGACATTATTAATCATTGGGTGACCTTTGTGAGCCTTGGATGAAGTAACATACTCTCTACCTTCCTATTTTTTTTCTGATACCATTGACCATGGCACTTTACTATGGACTACCTATAGGGATTGGGCTTGAATGCACTGTTTTTCAATGGTTCTGTTCTTCTCCAGTTAGCTATTTCAATCAGTTGTGGTGAGAGATGAGAGGTAAGGAAGTGCATTCAGACTTGCATGATTTTATTATTGTAGGTTTACAATGAAGTAGTACGGAATTGCTGTTTCTACAACTGCGTTCTGTGTCGGTGTCAGCATTGTTTATGGGTGGATAGACAGATTTGGAACAAGTATAAAATTTGGAAGTCTTTCTAGATTTGGGATGTGAACTGAAAAGAGCGGGGGGTGGGGGGCAGAGTTAAGAAACCCCCAAACAAGGGTCATCTTTTCATATAAATTTAGGCCTCTTAATTAATGTATTCAGGCAAATCAGAACTCTGAGACTTGGCTCCTTCTCAAAGGTCTTTAATGAGTACATCATTTCGGCACAACTTCAATGGAAAACCAAATCTAAATCTTGCCTGAGGTTTTAGTATAATTAAACTAGGAAATAACCCCATTCCCAAGTGTAACAGGTCACATTGGCCAATTGGGTTAATTGGCAGGCTGTTCAGGCACTGCTTCCCGAACCTTATCTGTTGTCAGTAGAGACGACCTTGGTTCTGATGAGGAAGCTCTTCGTTGTGTCTAGTAATGCATTCCAACCTCCTTCCCTCTTTCCCCCTCTGTGTGGCAACTGAGGAACAGAAAAATGGCTGCAGCTAGGGTCAATTCAAAGTTGACAGCCTCTTTATAATCTTGCATTTTCATAGGTCAAGAACAACAACAAAGCAGTTAAAGGAAAGCACCATTAAAAATGAAAACCAAATTCACGGCAGAGGAATGATTCTATCATTTTATTTTAGTGAATTCTTATTTATGCAATAAATAATACTCATTAGCCATGGGTGCCATACACTCCTGTTTCTTTAACAATCATTTTATAAACTTATAAGTGTTTATATAGCCTGTGATATCCTTTGCTGGCAAATCCACTGATTTTCAAGATTATTTTAGTCAGTCAGAATAGAGCTGAAAGGAACCTTGGAAGGCCTTCTAGTCCAACCCCCTGCTAAAGCAGGACACCCTACACCATTCTGACAAATGGCTGTCCAATCTGTCCTTGAAAGCCTCCAGTGGTGAAGCTCCCACAATTGCTGAAGGCAAACTGTTCCATTGGTTAATTGTTCACACTGTTAGGAAGTTGCTCCTTAATTCCAGGTTGTTTTTCCCTTGGATTAGTTTCCATCCATTGTTTCTTGTCCTGCCCCCTGGTGCTTTGGAAAATAAGCTGACCCCCTTATTTTTGACAGTGATTTTTTATTTTTGACAAGGATTTTTGACAGTGGCTCCTGTGATCCAGCTGGAGCAGATTATTGTGTGTGCTTTCTGAACTCACTTGCTCCACTGTTTTTCAAGTTTCAGGATCATGAGTGCAAGGACTGGCCAGAATAGTATGAGCACCGTCGCAAGGAAGATGGGTTACAGCATCGTGGAAAGGCTCAGAAGATGTGCTGGTTGCATATGGGTTAGGCATAGCCAAGGGAATATTCATAGTGCAGAATATATTTCTCAGGCACTGGGACACCTTTAGAGGGGAAAAACACTTTTATTTATTTAAATACTTTAAAATAACATTGCTGTCTTAAACTTGTCAGTTAATACAACTGTATATCACCTCTATATGAAAGATTTCCCAACCGTGGCAACTTTAAGATAGGTGGACTTCAACTCTCAGAATTGCCCAGCCAGAATGGCTGGCTGAGAAATTATGGGAATTGAACTCCACATATGGGTGGATGCTCCAACACTGGAGGTTTTTAAGAAGGGATTCAACAGTCATTTGTCTGAAATGGTATAGGGTTTCCTGCTTGGGCAGGGGATAGGACTAGAAGACCTGCAAGGTCCCTTCCAATTCTGTTATGCAGTTAAAGTTGCCAAGGTTGGGAGACGTTGCTATATGACATCTAAGCTTTTTTGTCTGGTTTTTCCCCAATGGGAGCCCATTGCAACTCAAACAGCAAATTAACTGAATATTTCATCTTATTATTTCTGCATTTTCCCCTTTTTAAATGTATCTCAAGATTTCTGCAGAACTGGTTTGACACCTTTTATAAGAAATAAGAAGTGTTGCATTCTGTTATTTGTTCACTATATTCCCCTGAGCTGCGTTTAGTTATTCTTACTATAACAGATATGAATAGATAACAGTGAGAGGAAGGATGAATATAGGAGGAAAAACTGCTTAACAATTAAAATGAAATCAAAATACTATGTAAAAGCAAGATAGAGGATGTTGATTCAAACTGTAAACTCGGGAGAAAGACTGTAGTTATTATTTTTTAATGTACAGTTGTTTAAAGATTCAAAAGAAGCAAAACACTCAATATGGTAGGGCCTTTTCATTATTCAGTGCCCATTAATGAGTCTTTATCATAGTATATTATTATCCTCTTTATTGTGTAGTAATAATGAAAGAAAATATTCTGTGCAATATTTAATACGTGAAATCCATGAAGTCAGCTAATGAAGGATAATATGGAAGAATTGTCCTTTGAGAATAGTGGTTGGATCATTGCTATAATTGTTTGTCATCCTGGCTTCCTATCATTAAGAAATGTTTGTCATCCAGGTTTCCTATCATTAAGACATGTTTGTGTCATATTGGCAGTATGGCACCACATATAGTAGCTACTTTAACATGATGGCCTTCCTGTTGCTTGTGAATTTTAACTGTAACACAAAGAAAATGCTACTGCAATTTACAGGCCTTGATTTACAACAATTCATATGGTGACCATTCAAAGTTACAGCAGCATTGAAAAAAAAAAGATTTATGGCAATTTTACACATAACAACCATTGCAGCCATCCCCATGGTCATGTGATCAAAATTTGGATGCTTAGCAATTGACTTATATTTATGACAGCTGCTGGGATCATATGATCATCGTTTGTGATCTTCTGACAAACAGTCAATGGGGAAGCCAGATTCACTTAATAAACTGGTTACTAACTGAACAACTGCAATGATTCATTTAACAACAGTTAAACCAACATTTGCTTCCCCTTTCCATAAAAAAAGTCCATTGCAGACAATGGGTTCGTTTAATGACTGCCGCCATCATTACATTCACTAGACTGCTGCAAAAAAGTTGTAAAATCAGGTTAGTCAAGTGATGACTCACTTAATGACCAGCATAATTTTTAAATGGTAATTCCAGGCCCAATTATGTTTTTAAGCTGAGAACTACCTGTACCAGATAACAAAAGCAAGCTAATAAAACCCATAATAAAACCCATATACAAACTTAGTGAAGATTAAGTATATGCTTGAAAGTGCTGTAGTTTTCGTTTGTTAAGTGTTTGGAATTTCAGAAGATCTACAAACTATACCTGGGACTGAATCTTTAAAGCAGGCCCAAGTTTTAACCCCATCATGTCTAAAAGATGTTCTTCTGTAAGCAACGGTAAGGTTTCTCCATCGATGACATGATCTTTAAATACCTTTAAAAACAAAAAAGTAAATATTGTCATGGAATCAATAAATGTGTCAACTTTGAAACGGATTGGGCCTGTTGCAGCCATTTTCTCTGTTTTTCAGCTTGACACACTTTGGGAGGAAGAGGGAACTCTGGAATGTCAGACCAGACATCAACAACTTACTATCTCCTGAGAACCAAGGTCATCCCAATAGGTGCTGGCCAGAGACTTGGAAGGGGTTACCAAGGAGATGCCAAAACACCTTAGTGGACAATGTGACCTATGACAAGGAGGGAGGGAGCTTTTCTAAATATACTGAAAGAGGGCCTTGGACTCATGCACCACAGAGCTGGAAATAAACTTTTTGCTTATCTAGTTCAACTCTGCTTTTCTGCAGGATCCACTGAATGCTATTTCTTCTACAGGTAGTCCTCAACTTACAGGTATGACCATAATTCAGCCCAAAATTAATGTTGCTAAGTGAGAAATCTGTTAAGTGAGTTTTGCCCCTTTTTATGACTTTCCGCTGTTCAGTGAACCATTGCAGTTGTTAAATTAGGAACACGGTTGTTAAGTGAGTCTGGTTTCCCCCATTGACTTCGCTTGTCAGAAGATTGCAAAAGGTGATCACATGACTCCAGAAAACTGAAACTGTCATAAATGAAAGTTAGTTGTCAAGCATCTGAATACAAATAAGCATAGGGATGCTGCAATGGTCATAAGTGTGAAAAATGGTCGTAAGTCACTTTTTTCAATGCCTTAACTTTTAATGGTCATTAAATAAACTCTTGTAAGTGGAGGACTACCTGTACTTAATTTCTGGAGAGATGTAGTGTGATGGAATGTGTATATAAAGGGGCTGGTGGTATGGATTACAGTGAAGTGGCAGTTTCCCAGGAAGGAGGGAGCATATTCCAAGGAAAGAGGGGGGGGGGGGCAAGACAAGGAACAACAGAGCCCAGAATTGGATCAGAAAAAGGAAGAGATTTAGGACAGCCAATCCCTAGAATCTCCCTGGGTGGATCTATTAGGATTAGAGTAGCATAGATTTAGTCTGGCAAGATTCTGTCTCTTGGTGCAAACAAAATAAGAACTGAATTTTGACTATGTTCTTTGTCTTCTTTGGCCGGGCCTGACACCGAGGCACATATATCCAAATGCAGATTTACAGTGTCTCATTGTTAATTTTATGAACTAAAAAGATTCACTCTCAAACCTACTTACTTTCATCCATATCTGCCTACCCTGGACTGACTAGGTTGGATTCCGGAAGAATCAGGGTGAGATGGCTATTCTCATGCAACACCTCCATTCTATGTCATCTCTCCCATGTACAATTCCCCCACTCTTTTATCACTTTCAACCAGACTTGGTTATTCCTACTTCCTGGGCACCTCATATATGAACAGTCTTTTATTTTGAGAAATACTTTGTATTTGAAAACCATGTTTTGTTGTTTCTTGCTAGAAACGTTTCCTTTTGGTATTTTTCCATATGCTCTGTAAACCTAAACCTTCCTGTCTCCATGGCCAGCTTTGAGGGGATTTCACGTACACTGTATTTCATGAAAAAAAGCAAAACCCCACCATAGAATAATAGGGTTAGAAACGTCCTTGGAGGTCTTCTAGTCCAAGCCGCCTGCTCAAGCAGACACCATTCCAGATGAATGGCTTTCCAGTCTGTTTTTGAACACCTGCATTGATATCTTCATACAATACTTAGTACAATATTAGACAACTAATAATAGACAACTACAGCATGGCATTACATAATATGTTGTAATATATTGAGGTACTGGTATATGAATAACTAAAAGCAGTAACATATCCAAAATATATGTTAAGCAAAATGGAATTACAGCATTATTTAAATTAGGTTAAATAGAAGGAAGTCTTTCCTGAGCATTTTGCAGTTGTTTAATATTTATGATTACCTGAGCATAGTCAGAGCATCCTGGGAGACTGTTGATAAAACTGTATACATCTTCAACAGTCCATTTGCGAATATCTTCAGCAGATGAAATTTCTTCCCCATTTAAAATCCGTCTGGGAGGGGCTAGGAAAATTTGGGGAAAATCATTTTTATTTTTAGCGACTAGCAAAGAAGTCTGAGAAAATTTTGAGCATATGACAAAATATTGAATTTATATTAGGTAGGGGAGGCCAAATAAGATACAGGTAGATCAAGGTTGCCAATGAATGTCACATGACCCTAGGATGCTGCAACTATTGTAAATACATGCTGGTTGCTAAGGACCGAAATTTTGATCACAGGACCATGAGAAATGTTGTGAAAGTCATAAGTGCAACAATCCGTCTTAAGTCATTTAAAAAAAATATACAATTACAACTTCAAATGGTTGTTATATGAATGGTTCCATGTGGAGGATTAATTGTAGTATACAGCAGTGTCCCCCATCCTTTCGGGCACCAGGGACCAGTTCCGTGGAGAGAGGTTTTTTCACGGACTGGAAGGGACATGATTTCATATGCTTCCTGCATCCTGCGGACAGGGCTTTACTTGTTAGCGCAGCCCAGTTTCTGGCATGCCACAGACCTGTGCCAGACCATGGACCAAGGATTAGGAACCCCTGTTATACAGTACTGAACTTGAGTCCTGTAAAATCCTAATATTGTTTCTCTTCATGAAGCAGGGTCGCAGTGGAAAGTTGATTTGCACTGGAAAAGGGTTTTAAACCGTTCCCCCCCCCCCCCGTATTTTTCCTCTGTGTTACAGTCCTGAGGGTTCTTTGCAAGTAGAATGCATTGATTTATGATCACCACACAAAGTTTCTGTCAACCCTGAAGTGATCCTGGCTGAAGCCATCTCGGAGGCTTCAGGACTGCCACAACTCAGAGGGGGTGGGTGGGAAATAGTTAGGTGGGATTGTAGCCAAAACAATAAAACTTCTCTGTGGGAACCCAGGGACATTCCCACAGGTAGCTGGCCACAGGAGGTGATGACCAAGCAACCAGCCAGCTCCTGGATTGGACAGCATGACCGGTGACTTGGGGGAAAGGGGAAACATTTACTTTTAATTAGGTGAAAAACCGCAGGAACTTTTAGAGTCGGCTTTCACCAATTGTGCCAATATAATCTACCCAACTGTTCTTTGAGGAACCTGCCTGCCTCAGAGTTCTATGGGTGCATTACTTGGAACGCTGACAGTTTCCATGAAATATATGTACTTTGGTTTTCATGCCAGGTTGTATTGGAGATATGGAGAATCTATGATTCTGTGATGCTTTCAACGTTCCTAGCATTTTCCCACCTGGGACTGTTTGGCTGACAGTCTAGCAATATCTGGAGGGACATGATATCCTCCTGCATGTCTTAGTACTTACCGAAAGATAACGGAGGTTGATTGAGCATGGAAAAGCCACTTGTCAGAGCAGAGAGTGTGATTTTTGATGGATCTGCATGCTTTTTGTTAAAGACTAAGCAAGAATTGTGACGTTCTTTCTCATTTCCATTGTGGCCGTCGGTTGTTTCACTAGGCATTTTGTGGTTACACAACTTCTTTTGCAAGTCACCTTCCTGTTCCTTCTCATTTCGGGGGACAGCTGCAGATGGTTCTGCGTGTGCTTCTTGTTCTGCTTCTGCAGGCTTGTTTGGCATTTCCACTTTGCTTTCTTTCTTATCATTTTTTTCTTCACTGAGAGTTACTGAAGCCAGATCTGTGTCCCTATCCTCTCTTGGGTACTTTCCATGATTGAACTGGTAACGAGAAGCTTTGCGGATCCCAGCTCTCCTGCTTGGTCGACGGACCCGTTCCCTTTGAAGCATGGTGAGAGGTGGATAGGAGCTTGTGCCCATTAACGTGGCGTTCCTCTGAAGTTCATTGAGGGTGGTCTGATGGCTATACAGGCCATTGGAGAGGTGGCCTTCAGGAATGTAGTGTCTTTCTTGAAAACTAGGAGAGCAAGCTGGGACATCAGGATAAGGGGAAAAGCCCCTGAGTTTTAGAAGACTTTTTCGCTGAGCTTTTTCGAGTTCTTTTTGTTGAAATATGGCACTCATTTCCATCCTAAGTAAGGATCATAAGCATTACACCATAACCGAAAATGAAATCTTTATCTACCAGTAGGTTACAACATACAAAGTTGGAACATTAGGCATTGTAGAGGTAAAAATTGAGTCCTTGAAGACATACAGTTTGTAGAGATGAAAAGTGTTGAATCTTTTTCAATCAAAGGACTGCCATTACCCCACTGATCACCTCAGAGGGTACTCACTAGATGTAGGCAAGGGCCAAGATCACCCACACTTCATCATTTACACACACATCCATTCACACACATCCTTGGATACAGCAAAATTCTTGGTGTCTACATGGATCCACCCATGAAGTTTTCCAGCAACAATATGGAAGCCGGATTACAGAAATATTTTTTAGACTTCTCTGTTTAGCGTCTGGTTCAAGAAATTCTAAGTGGTCTCCCATCCAAATAGTAATCAAGGCTAGTTTAGGAATCCAGCCAAAGTGCTAGATACTACTACCTCCTGAGATACATACCACAATAATCATGTTAACAAAATCTATATAATGCAGCAGGAGATAGATTTATACTAGTAGCCAATGGACAAAGATGAAAATATAGAAAGATTGCCTGTAATTTAAATAGCAATACTATCCATATAACCACAGTTTGGATGACAGTAACTAATTGACCTATAAGCTATCTGACATTCTAACTATGATTTATTTAATCAGGATTAATTGAATAAACCGCTGGTGTAAACAATCGTACAAACAGCAAACTAGGTGATAAGCCTTAAAGGATGATTTAGCATGTAAATTCTAATAATTGTGATTTAGTTCATTTTACCTGGCCATATTTTGTTTCTGAACCAATTCTTGTCTTTTGGCTACTGCTTCCATTGATTCGGATTGAAGGAAACTATATCCTAGTAATTGAATGAATGAATGAACATAATTGAAGATTACTTTTAGCATCATTCACTTGTTTAAAACTGGATTAATATTCATAAACAAAGAAAAAGCCCACAGTGCAATCTTACAGTTAAGGACTCAAGGTTAAATCCAGTTCAAATCCAGATTAATATGTATAGGTAGTCTTCGACTTATGACTTTTGCTTAGCAATCATTCAACGATATGGTTTCCCCTGGAGTACTTATGACCCAGTTCTAAAGTTCTTATGCTCATTCCTCCTTCAGTCACATGACTGCATTTTGGGTGCTTGGCAATTGATTGGCATTTATGATTGTTTGCCGCATTTCATGGTCCTGTAATTGCGTTTTACAACTTCTTTGTTGAAAACTGACATTTACTTTCATTTTTTGGAGAAAAATGGCCCACAACGAACAATTGGTTCACTTAAATGACTGCTGCAGAAAAATTTGTTAAAGCAGGTTGTTCACAGGGGTGATCCATTTTATGATTGTCATGATTTACAATCATAAAGGGCAGGCTCCATTACGGTCATACATTGAGGACCACCTGTATGACTCCGAACTGAAGAAACTATGGCTGGTTAGTTCAGCATAATTTTTAAATTCTTCCTTTCATCTGCTCCAATATTGGTTTTCAATATGCTGATAGATTAGCAATATTCTGTTAATATAACCTTACAATAAAGCAGAATTAGCTCCCTTGGTTGTGATTCTTATTTGATGTACTCAGTGAGGCTGGCAGCCACGTACATGACTATGCATACTTTGAAAATGATTCGGAAGAAAAGTTTTGGCCCTCATGAGAACCCAGCAACCCGGCATTGTTCATTAGAAGGGATAGTCTTTTTTAGATTTCTTCATGAGCCTGAAAAATGATGCAGCTGCTTTAAGGAGTCAGGATTTTTTTTCCCAGTCTGGTATTTCTTGCTACTTCCTTCCTATATGTACCTATTGCAGAAGCTTGCTGAAAATGATGGTTCAGCGCTACTTGTTAACATAAGTTCTGTGTCCCTAAACTACAGGAAACCACAACTGAGCTCCAAATTTATGTTGCTAAGTGAGACAGTTGTTAAGTGAGTTTGCCCCATTTTGTGACTTGCCTTGCCACAGTTGTTAAGTGAATCATTGCAGTTGTTAAATTGGTAACACGATTGATAAGTGAATCTGGCTTCCCCCATTGATTTTGCTTGTCAGAAAGTTGCAAAAATGATCACATGAACTTGAGACACAGCAATGGTCATAAATATGAGTCAGTTGTCAAGGGTCTGAATTTTGATCAGATGACCATAGGGATGCTGCAATAGTCCTAAGTCACTTTTTTCAGTGCCAATGTAACTTTGAACAGTCACTTAACAAACTGTTGTAAGTCGAGGACTATCTGTACATGAATTGTAAGCTTTTGTACACCTTTGAATATATTTAAATGTATGAGCTACATTTATTTAGCTTGGTTAGACCAAAAGAAAGAAGGTACTACAGCAAATATTGGCTCCATCAAAAGCTTCCATTCAAGAGTGATTTGATCTAGCAGTGATGGCTAACCTTTTCAGCACCAAGTGCCCAAAGCGTGCACGCGCATCCTAAAAATGCAATGCGCGCAGGCCCTGTGCATGCAGACCACCCCTGTGCATGTGTGCACAACTTCCCCATCCCCGGCTCATGCACGCATAACCCCCGTGCATGCGCCCTGCCTCCATGCATGCACGGCAGAGACCCAAAGACCAGCTGGCCAGTGAGAGGCACACACACATGTGTGGTGGAGCTAAGCTGGGGCGACAGCTCACGGGCCCAGAGAGAGGGCTCTGCGTGGCACCTCTGGCACACGTGCCTTAGGTTCACCATCACAGAATTCTAATCAGTTCTTTGAATAAGCAAATTGCCTGCAATGGTATGTGGGAATGAAATTAGGAGACAGGAAGGAGAGCTGCAATCTAGCAATTAGCAAAGGAGGACTGTCCCTATTTTTCTGGAGGCTAAAGGGAAAGGAGGGGATACATGTTTTCAATGTAATAAGCAGGGGTGGGATTCAATTTTTTAAAGAACCGGTTCTGTGGGCGTGGCTTAATTGGTGGGCGTGGCTTAGTGGTAATGTGATTGGCTGGGCGTGGCCAACTCAACATCACTCCCATCAAGGCATGCATCTCCTCGCCTGGCCTCTCGTGACTACAACAGTCATAAGTGTGAAAAATGGTCATAAGTCACTTTTTCCAGTGCCATTGTAACTTGGAATGGTCACTCCACACAAGCAAAGTACCAGCAAAGGAGGGAAAAAAAACTCCAGAGAAGTTCCTGAGACAGGAAGTCTAGTCCTGCCAAGAATGTAATGAGGGTTAATGGAGAGGCAGTTTCTGTAAGCAACACCAGAATGTTTCCTTCCTGCCTTCTTTACAGGATTAGGCCAGTAATTTCTTCTAACAACCGCTTCTCCGAACTGCTTAGAATGTTAACAACCGGTTCTAGCGAATAGGTGCAAACTGGTAGAATCCCACCCCTGCTCATAAGCTTCTGTTAACAAAACCTTCCAATAAAGATGGGGCTAGTATTCCTAGATGTACTTATTGTACTTCTTGCAAGGCTAACATTATTACCTGCATGGTGGTAAATTGGTTAGGATGCAGTGTTGCAAGTTAACTCACTGCTCACTGCCAAGAGTTCGATCCTGACTGGGTCAAGGTTGATTCAGTTTTCCCTCCTTCCAAGATCAGTAAAATGAAGACCCAGATTGTTGGGGGCAATATGTATAATATATATAAACCGCTTGGAGAAGGCTGTAAAGTGGTATATAAGTTAAATGCTATTGCTATCTATTTAATGCGCAAAATGAAATCAGGGGCCTCTAATCAGTTTAGAGACTCAGTGCAAGTTTTTCCATGGGGACCCCTACTGTTTAACACAATCAACTCAGCTCTTCAAAAATGATTCAGATCAAAAGAGAAATTTGAATTAGGCCTTGACACCAATAGTTTTCCTACTGCTACTGACTATTTACTTACGTAGTTACTTATGATATCTCTCTTTCTTACCTGGTCCTTGGGAAACGCAAGTAGATAATAAGTTTGGGAAGTTGGCAAGTTGTGAGGTGGGAGGTTCAAGAGTGGAAGCCACATGAATCTGTCTGAGATCAGCTGGTGCCAAGATCTCAGATGTAGGTAACAAATGGCTAGGAGAGCAAAGAAGACAGCTAATCAAAGTGTCTTATGGGAAACACTGAAGTTCTGGGTAAGAAATTTCCTACATATGAATCAGGAAAAGAGAGCAAACAGCCTATAATGCACAGTACTGAGAATCTTGAAACAGAGAGTTGTAGGTATAAAAAAAAAACCCACCTGACCATTTTCACAAGTAATTCTGAACCCTGAATTTAAAAATTGATAATATATTTGGATTTAAAGTACATATCAAGGACTAAATGTCGATTAGCCATTTTAAAGCCTTAAGCAAAACATCTATACTAGTGGTTTAACATTTTTAAAAAAACAAGTAGGCAAATGAAGTTGTTTGGATCAAAATATGAAAGCACCTCATATGCTGTCAGTTCTGTCTCTTTGGTATGAGTGAGCAACATCATTATATATGTGAGGAGCAGAAGGACAAATTGATCAATTCCAAATTGATCAGACAGTTATGTATGGCTATTGTTCACACCGGGAAAGAAACACTTGTGGAGCCAATAGGTAACCTTTTCTGGAAGAAAAGAATATCTATAACAGTATTTTTCAACCTTGGCAAGTTTAGGATATGTGAACTTCAAGTCCCAGAATTCCCCAGCCAGTATGTTGAGAAACACTGTAGTGAAAAGAGTGCTAGAACAGAATTTAGATTTTACAAGTAGTGTAAATTATGACCACAATTGGGATGGGAATTTCCATCATTAATCAAGGTGTTAAGCAAAGTCAGCATCCCTCATTGACTTTGTCAGAAGCTCCCTGGGATGGTTGCAAGTGGCTATCACATGACTCTGGGAAGCTGCAATCCCTGTAAATACATGCCAGTTGCCAAGCGCCAACATTTGGAACATGTCATCCTAGGGACACTGCGACAATTTTAAGTGCAAGACTGGTCATAAACCACTTTTTTCACTGTTACAACTTCACAGTCATTAAACAAATAATCATAAATCAAGGACTACCTCTGTTGACTTCAGATATATTGAACATGTTGGCTGGTAATTACTGGCACTGCTGCCCAATACATTTGAAGGACACAATTTAAGGAAAGGTCTCCTTGAAGTTTTGTCTTATTTCTACACCGGGTTGGGGAACCTTTATGACTTGTGGGCTTCAACTCCCAGAACTCCTGAGTCAGCATGAGCATGGCTGGCTCAGGAATTCTGGGTATTGAAGTCCACAAGTCATAAAAGGGCCATAATTCCCCAGCTCTGCTCTACATGCTCTATTATATACAGACAACATCTTTTCTTTCATCTAGTAGCTAGGAGTACCTTTCCACAAACCGAGATTCCAACTGTGAAGGAATTGTCTGCATTCCATGCTGGCACATTAATGGTGGGTGTCCTGTCATGAACTGGCTCCTCATTAGGATTTCTTGTTGCTGTCTCAGATCTAAAAGAAATCATATAATATTGTGCTAACTCTCGTTTTTTCAGGACATCACTCTGACTTTCCCTCTGGGCCTCATTCATGATGCTGGCTTTAACACAGTGCTTCCTAAACTTTTCCCTTCATTACCTAAAATCTCTTATCTGAAAGTTTTATTGAACTTTGAGGAATGGTCATAAGCCCTTTCCTTCAGCACCATTGTAACTTTGACCCAAGGGTGGCTGCTGCTGGTTCTTCCTGGTTCGGGCGAACTGGTAATTAATTTTACGGCCAGTTCAGTGAACTGGCAAATCCCTCCCCAGGCTGGCCCTGCCCACCCCTCCCCTCCCAGGAGTCCCCATGAGGCCCGTTTTCGATCCCAGATAACTGTCTTTATATTATAATTTTGGATTCTATCCAGAGGTGGCATTCAGCAGGTTCTTACCAGTTCTGAAGAACCAGTAGTGGAAATTTTGAGTAGTTCAGAGAACCAGCAAATACCACCTCTGACTGGCCCCATCCCCATTTATTCTCTGCCTCCCAAGTCCCAGCTGATTGGCTGGGTCTTTTTTTGTTGCCCTGCACAGGAGAATGGAGCTGGAAAGCAGGTTAGTGGGGTGGAGAGAGAATGGAGATTTTGCAGTATCCTTTCCCTGCCATGCTCACCAAGCCACACCAGCCAAGCCACGCCGTACCCCGCAAGCCATACCCACAGAACCGGTAGTAAAAAAATTTGAATCCCTCCATTGATTCTATCTATTGTATATGGTATTTTTGAAAGAAATCAGACAGATGGGAAAGCAGGGTGGTTGTTTTTTGTGACAGCTTTCAAAATTTGAAATTAACAACTTTGAGTCCAAATCCTGCCACAGGTTGATAAAGAAAATCTGTTAGAACATGAAGGTGGGAGAAAGAAGCCTGATTTGAATCCTGGAGCTGACAGATTAGATTAGAGCAGGGTTTCTCAACTGTGGCAACTTCAAGATGTGTGGACTTCAACTCCCAGAATTCCTCATCCAGCAAAAATGTTCCAGCCCATGCATCTTAAAGTTGGAAAAGTTGAGAAACACACTGGATTAGAGGTTATACTACCCAACTCATAGGGAGCACAGCGTCCCAATGGTTAAGACACTAGGCTGTTGATTGGAAGGTTGGTAGTTTGAGACCCAACTACTACTACTGTGTGATGGGGCGAGCTCCCGTCCTTGCTTCAGTTCCTGCCAACCTAGCAGTTGCATGCAGATGCAAGTAGATAAATAGGTATCATTTTGATGGGAATATAACAGCATTCCATGCACCTCGGTGTATAGTTGTGCCAGCCCCCTGGTCATCGAAATGTCTTTGGACAATGCTGGCTCCTGCAGCTAAGAAGCAAGGATGAGTTCCCCAGAGCCAGACACAACTGGTCAGGGAAAACTTCACCTTTTTTAAAAAAAACTGTATGATCATGGGCAGCATACATCAATAAAAAACAAGCTCCAACAAATAGGTAACTCCAACAAATAGGTCCAGTAAAACAAACCACAACTACACATATAATAATATATATGGGCATAACTTAAAAGCAAAGTTTATTTATAAGGAAAGGAATGCAGCTGTTAATCTGGAAAAATGTAGTGCCTTGGACTATATGGCAAAATGTAAATTCCTATCACAATGTATATTTGTTCCACCTTACCACCTGGTGGGATGCCACTTCCAATTTGGTAAAAGGCTCCATCTTCCACACTTCTCTGCCTCCCAAGGATTATTATTTTTCTCATGTGATCCTGAGGATTCATGCTGTTGAAGAATGCAATTGGTCATCACTAGGAATCAGTGAAATGGAAATGGGCTGAGAAAGCAATTATAACCCAAACATCAGAGGAATATAAATAATATAATACAGCCGATATAAAAAAGACCCTACACATTTCCTTGTTCCATAACTCTGCATTGATGGGACATCGTTAAAGCTATCAATAGTGTCTAAAAAGACTAAATTCCTTGTTTGCATCTTACACATGCAAATCCCTGGCATTTTAGTCTGCAGGTTGCCATAAAAATAGAACTGTCTTCTATCTATTAAGCCCCGTCACTTAATTTTGACTGCCCAGATCCTCTTCCAACCTTCAGCATTATTTCCAGTCTTTCAATAGGACTTTTACAGTAAAGTTAACAGGTAACTGAAAAGAACTCTTCAATGTTTTGATGTTTCTCTCTATAGATTAGGAATTAGTTAAGAATGTGAAGTAAAACAGTTTTTCCCAACCTCAGCAATTTCAAGATGTGCAGCTTTCAACTCCCAGAATTCTTCAACCTGCCTGCTGGTTGGGGAATTCTGGGAGTTGAAGTCCACACATTTTAAAGCTACTGAGGTTGAGAAACATGAAAAGGGGTGCCAGCTGTCACGGCCTGGCTTCATGTAGGAGTCCATACTAATCCTATTCTGTAAATCCTAGCAGTGCAGCACATTATAGGGATGAAATCAAGTTAATCACTCGTTTAGAGTTTTACCCTGAACAAACCCTTCTTGGCAGCAGGTAAAACCACTCATCCACTGGTAATTCTGTCACACTTGGTTAAGCAAAGAATGGAAGTATGACATCTTTGCAGACTAAAACTAGCTGTGTACAGTTAATGATGCTTTGCAAACCAAGGGAGAATAAAGAATAGGCTGGTGCAAGTGCAATTGTGTACAAGTAAAGGTCAGAAGTAAACGTTTAAATTTTTGAAAAGCTTGTCCTTCAGTATAAGGATGGGAGTTTTAACTGCCTTCTAGAGCAGGGGTCTCCAACCTTGGCAACTTTAAGACTTGTGGAATTCAACTTCCAGAATTCCTTAGCCAGCAAAACTGGAAACCCTTGTATTAGAGAGACAAACTGTTCCACTGGTTAATTGTTCTCACTGAACTATTGTTGGGAACTAGGAATCTGCAGAATGAATACTCCCAACCTGGCAATTTCCATCTGTGGTGGACTTCAACTACCTAATCTTTAGCCAACAGCACACTGGACCAGGAGATATTACTTAGATGACTAAAGGCCCATTTATGAAGTTATAATATAGGGCAATCCTTGGTAGTCTACTGGTTTAATTCTCTTCGTCTACTGGTACAAAAAATATCAAGTAAGAAAACTGGGCATCCTTATCTTCTGTCTCTTTGGATAGAGAACACTAGGTGAAGAGACCAATGCTTTGGGGTTGACGATGCAGCAATTAAAGCAAGTAAATTTTTAAAATAAACTCACAACATACTGAACCCACAAAGTAGCCAACTACCTTTTAACCTAGCGCGTTCTGTGAACTCATGAAAGCAGTTTATATTTCGGTATGTTGTTTGAATCTACAAAATTAGGTTAAATTAGATGGATTCAGAATTCATTTCGGCAGCAACCCAGAAAATAATTAGGTTGTGCATGTGTGGTGTGTATGTATGCACATGCACAAACACAATGTAACACATGCACCTATAAGGTTTATTTAAAACAGTTTGGTTTTGGTTTTCCTTAGATGCATCACAGTAAGCTGTATAATGGGAATGGTACAATTTAGAAATGTGTGGTAGGAAAAGGATCTAGAGGTAAGATCCTACTGGGAACTTCTCCAGGTCTCTAGAAAACTAGCCAAAAATGGACTGCCAAATCATACCTGTAAGACGTTTCCCAAAAATGGCAAAATAAGGTGGGAATCAAATTGCAAGGCTTCTATGATGTGAAATGTTGCTGTTTGTTTGTTAAATTACTCCCAACCTCCAAATCCATCAAAAATGAACCAAACATTTTTAGACTCGCTATCTGGATTTGCTTGCCCCTCTACATGCTGGAGTTAATGTGTTTAAACCACTATAGCTAGAACAAAATCCAGATAAATTAGGTATATTTAATGCCTGTGGAAAATAGTCATGTACTATAATCAACAAGTCATCATGCAGACATGCATTTAATTTATTTACACCCTATTTTGCCATTAGCATTAGTACCGTACTCAAAATAGTTTGAAATAAAATAATAAAATAATATTTATAATTATTAAAACTTCCCTTATCAGCTGAGTAGCATTAGCCTGAATAAAATATATATTTTCATATCAGAAAAAAAACAAGAGCAATGGAAAAAGCTTATCCTTCTTTGCAGGGAATTCAAAAGCCTTCTAAAAAGGACAGAGATTTAGAAGAAATTAATTTGTATAGAACAGACAATGGTGTCTGAAACATTTTACTTTCAGTTCTAAAAAAGCTTGTTTCCAAATATATTGTATAAACTTTAAAGGTTAAAGGTAAAAGATTAGAATACCTAAAGAACAAGCAGAAATACAATATTTATACACCTCCTTTGCTTGTGTTAAATAACATTCCACATCTTTTCTCATTTCATCAAGCTGGTTTACATCATGAAAAATAATACACATATAATTAAAATGAGAGCTACAAATAATCCTGAAGTATAGTCATTCTGTTGGTCATCTGGTAGATGCAAAGCTATATCAGTTTGTTTAATAAACAGACATTGTAATAATCAAACAAAAATTAATGTGATTGAAATGCCTCTCTGTTACAGTCCCTGATGTGAAATAAACCCTTTCCTGAGACTATGTTAAAATTACTGACATTGTTATTACATGTCTGTCCCACATGTAAGTTATGGTTGATTGCATATACTTACAGCAGTTGTCACTACCTTCGTTTTGAAACCAGTGAAGTGTATATAGAAAAATGCTGGATCTGTGCATTCACTCTGGTTGACAGGATTGAAAAGGTGTTGCAAAGTCAAAACATTCTGAACAATGACTTTGATATAAACCCAAACTCAGCTTATTTGGATTACTCTCTATCCTTACTTTTAAGTCCTCTTGATTCTGACATCAGAAGCTCTTTTCCCACATCATCTCCTCAGCCAGCAGAAACAAAACAATGTAATTATAAGTCAAACATCCCACTGATCTGATAAACCTATTTTGATATTTAACCTGTTAAGCTGTTAACAGCCATCAAAGCCCTTAATGCATTCACAGAAAATAGTAATTGTTGCAGAAATTCTGCAGTCCGCTGTGGAAGAATGATCACAGTGGCTTATTTGTCTTCCACAAATTTCCCCACTTTAAAAAGAAAAACAATGTGATTTGCCAAACAACAATTCTGATGCCCTTGTTTGCTTATCCCACTGAGTAGAAAAGATTAAAAACTCGTTGAGTATCCTGAAAAACAAATGAACACTGAAAGGTTACAGCTATTTGCTCTTTAGGTCTTATTGCTAGTTGGTTACCAGCTCTCTGAAGTGTTTGAGGGAATCTCTTCAAGAGAAAAAAAATAGATTAAAAGATTCATTAGAATGTCAAAATCTAAGATTAGTCAGGAATTTTGAGAATCTGTGAATAATGCAAGCACTCACAAACTGGCTATCATGAGTTTACTTATTCAGAAAAGATCCCTCTATCATAGATACCATCCTTGTACAAGTAGCCCTCGACGTACGATGACAATTGAGCCCCAAATTTATATTGTTAAGTGAAACATTTGTTAAGTGAGTTTTTGCCACATTTTATGACCTTTCTAGCCGCAGTTGTTAAGCGAATCATTGCAGTTGTTAAGATAGTACCACAGTTGTTAAGTGAATCTGGCTTCCCCATTGACGGCTTGTCAGAAGGTCGCAAAAGGTGATCACATGACCTCAAGGCACTGCAACTATCATAAATGCCTGCCGGTTGCTAAGCATCCAAACTTTGATCACATGATCAAGGGGTTGCTACAAAAGTGGCAAGTGTGAATAACGGTCATAAAGTCACTTTTTTCAGTGCCGTTGTAACTTTGAACAGTCACTAAATGAACTGCTGTAAGTTGAGGACTACCCGTATGTAGGATCTCTGGGGATTCGAAGTAGAAGGTCATGACATGTTTATTTTTTATTATGATTAAAAAGATATTTTAACAATATCTGTGATAAAGTACCTGTGGGGCAGCAGGAGAAATATTTGCCGTAAGTACAGTGAATTTCTACCCATGGACGTTGTGTAGCCCATGAAGTTCTGTTTGGAATAGGATAAAATAAACATGGTGGAACAATTGTTCTTTGCCTGACGCACATGCCTTAGGATTAAATAACCTTCTCTACATGAATAGAGAATGTAGATGGCATTGGTGGATTCTTCTAGAAGAACAAGGGCATCATTCTTGGCACTAGATGGGTTATAGCTTGCATAACATATTAATAACATGGTTGTCCAACTTTTTGGCTTGCCTGGCACTTTAGTTTTGAGTTAACATAGCTTAACCCAGACAAATGACACTTATTCTTTAAACCTAATAAAAAGCCATTGTAGCCATGGGTTGGTAGATTTATGCCTTCCCTTTACTTCCTGGAAATCAAAGGTATTGATCACATCATATTCCATCCTCCTATATTTTTTCCCCTGCACCTACAACCCTGCATAATTGAGAGACAATGGTTGCCCCAAAGCCTCTCATGAATTTCCCAGTCTGAGGATGAATTTAAACCTGTATATCTCCAGTCATAACTTAACATCTTAACCATTTGGCTTAGGTGTAATGTATGAACCTTGTTCACAGGTTTTTCATAGAACTTATTTATATCCATTTATCCCAGACTTTCATTATGAAGAGTAAAACTCAAACTGTGCCCACAAAATCTTGTTTGTTTGTTCATTTTGTACTGATAATAATACAGTATTTATATAGGGGAGTGTGGAAAAATGTAGAGAAGTTGTATTAGGTTATTTTTACCTGAATTTAATTAGATCACTGAATAATTGTCATCCTTTCTAAACTCATTGATTTCTAAAGCCCGACTTAGTATGATTCTGTCTGACCAAGGTGTTTTGCTTTGAAGAAAAGATATTTTCTCAATATATTCACCTGGCTGAACTGGTCTTGGCTTTGTTCAACATTAACTCAGTTGGCTAATTGGCTTGTTTAAACATAACTCTGAATCATAAGCAAATAACATAATAAGAAAGTGATGTGTATGAATCAAGTCTACATCCTTGATGCATACATATCAAATAATACACAAATGTATTTGGTTTTCAGTTGCAATTTACAGCAGTGAATAATTCAGAGAGGGAGCAGCATAAAAATGATATGAAACTGAATTATTTTGTACTACTTAGGATGGAGCAGAATATTAATAAATTGAAAATAAAATCCTCAGAATAATTTTTGTGATTAAATGCAGGCAGTACAGGATTTCAGTGTTTGCAAATCCTTTTTGTCAAATCAACTTGTGGCATTAATCTCTAATGGTTTTATTCCCTTAGAATATTTTCCTTTAGGATTATGGAGTCATGATGAGGCAAAGTACAAAAATCCACTTTAATCTTTGAATTGTTAGATGTGTGGGAAGGAGCTAAAGAGATTGTCCTCAGAAAAAGGTTGGCCTCTCTTCTATTACCTTAATCCTTTCTCTTTCTGACATATTATTGAGACTAAGAATATATTTAGTACGGCTGGTATGCACACAATTGCATTATTTTCTGGACCAGCAAGTTCTTTTCTTAGTCGCCTTATTTTAATCACCTTCTGTTTGAACTTTTGCAATTTATTTAAAATGGGACTTGCCCTTGCAGGCCAATTAGAAACTATAGCCAATCCAGAATATAGAGGCATAAGTTGTTATGCTTATGTGACCCCTTTATTACGTGACCCAAAGATCCTTTTCCAAAAAGCAACTGAAGTTTCTCTGTTTTTTTCCTTGAAAATGTTTCGTCTGTCATTCAAGAAGCTTCTTCAATTCTGAACTTCAAAATTAAAAATGCTATGCTTATGCGTAATACCCGAAAAAATGGATAAACAAAGTGTATATTTAATATTGCATGTATTAACAGCAGCAAGGATTGTATTTGCGTAGCACTGGAAAAATGAAGAAATACCACTAGATGAAGAGATAGTTAAGAAGATGTTGGACTGTGCAGAAATGGACAGGCTTACATTGAAGATTAAACAGAAAGAAGATATGGAATACTACCAAACATAACATTTATTTTATCAATGGCTGGAAAAAAAGGGGGTAAAGATTAAGAATATGATTTGTATTGTTAAAGCAAACAAAACAACCCAAACTACACGATGTTTATTAAGCACTAATTAAATGTAATAGTGAAAAATTAATAAAACTTTATTACAAAAAACTAAAAGCACTTCTTGGATGAGAAACAAAATGTTTTCAAGGGGAAAAACCCCCGAAGAAAGTCCAGTTGGCTTTTGGAGAAGAACCTTTGGGATAACCATGACCTGGATGATTGAGAATCTCCATAGACTCTACGTTATGAGTTGCACTGGATATCAGTTGGTTTCTGGGTGCAGTTAAAGATACAGTTTTTCACCTGTGAATCCCTTCTTGGCTTAGGGCTTGCAATTTATGGGATTACCTGTCCCGAGTTATCTTTGCCTGTCATATAAAATCAGTCAGGGTTCTTATGCTCCAAGTCTCTTCAGCAAAATAGTGCAATCTTATGGGACCAGAGAGATGCCTTCTCTGTTGCTACTTATTTCTCCTATCTGGGACAACATTCTGCCCCTAAAGTACATTTGGCCTGAAATTATTGGAATTTAGAAGGGTTTTAATGCTTGTATTCCCTAATGTACTCTCAGGGATTCTGATGGGTGGCACATGATAAAACCTATATTTGGTTTTTGCAAACCAAATAAAGCATTTGCCAGTGTTTAACCAACCTGTCAGTTGGTTACATGATTTTAGAAATGTTTTTATCACATTTAGTGTTCACACCCTTGATAAATTGCTGTATTTACCCAACAACACCTGTCTTTGTGGCAGACTGCAATATGCCAACTCCCACACACTCATATTGCAGGCTTAGCCATCTCTGAGGCAATTACAATAACAAAACGATTGTTCGGGAAATGTAAAATATTAACACAAAGGTTTGCAGTGTAAACCTTTCCTAAGTACCTTACCCTATTACCTTTTCTGGAATTAAACTCATCAGTAATTTGATTTGTTGCTCTTTGGTTCCTGTTCTGTCTTGTGGCTGAATAATATTATATTGTGGACCTAAATAATTCTTCTGAGATTTATCCTCTTCCCATTGATACATTGCAATTTGGAATTGAATGTAGTTCAATAAATTGACAAGAGTCAAGAGGTATCCAAATTGAATTAAATAAATAAATAAATAAAATAATCATTTAGCTAGGGGTATCTTTACTTTTGGACAAGGCATTAATTACTTAGGTTTGGTTTCAAATCTATAAAATGAAAATAACAGTAATTTGAATAGAATAGAATAGAATAGAATAGAATAGAATAGAATAGAATAGA